ATGTTTTAGAGAAAAGTATAAAGAGTTCATGAGGACATGAGATGTTAAAAATTATAGCATTAGCTGGAATTGGCTGCTGTAGTTGCCAAGCCATTCTCAATGATATTTGAAAAGTCATGGCAGTCAGGTGAAGTTCCAGGTGACTGGAAAAGGGGAAACATACCCATCTTTAAAAAGGGTAGAAAGGAAGACTTTGGGAACTACCAACTTGTCAGCCTCATCTCTGTGCCTGGGAAGATCATGGCACAGATCCTCCTAGAAGCCGTGCTAAGGCGGATGGAGGACAGGGAGGTGATTGGAGACAGCCAGCCCAGCTTCACCAAGGGAAAGTCCTGTCTGACCAACCCAGTGGCCTTCTATGATGGACTGACTATGTCAGTGGACAAGGGGAGGGTTACAGATGTAAAACCTCTGTAAAGCCTTTGACACATTCCCCCACACCATCCTTCTCTCTAAACTGGAGAGAAATGGATTTAATGAGTGGACTGTTAGGTGGATAAGAAATTGGTTGGATGGTTGCATCCAGAGGGTAGTGGTGAATGGCTCAGAGTCACAGTGGACATCAGTGACAAGTGGTGTCCTGCAGGGCTCCGTTTTGGGACCAGTGTTATTTAATATCTTCATTAATAACATAGACAAAGAATCAAGTGCACCCTCAGCAAATTTGCTAATGATACCCAGCTAAGGGGTGAGGTTTCCACACCTGAAGGATGAGATGCCATCCAGAGGGACCTGGACAAGCTCGAGCATTGGGCCTATGGGAATCTCATGAAGTTTAACACAGCTACGTGCAAAGTTCTGTGCCTGGGTTGGGGCAATCTCCTGTATCAATACAGGCTGGGGGATGAGGGGATTGAGAGCAGCCCTGCCAAGAAGGAGCTGGGGGTGCTGCTGGATGAGGGGCTGGACATGAGCCAACAGTGTGCACTTGCAGCCCAGAAAGGAAAACACATCCTGGGCTGCATCCAAAGGAGAGTGGCGAGCAGATCAAGGGAGGTGATTCTGCTCCTCTACTCCACTCTGGTGAGGCCCAGCCTGGAGTACTGAGTCCAGCTCTGGGGTCCCAAGCACAGGAAGGACATTGACCTGTTGGAGAAAGTCCAGAGGAGGTCCAGCAAGATCATTAGAGGGATGGAGCATCTTTCCTATGAGGAAAGACTGACAGAACTGTATGTGTTCAACATGGAAAAGAAAAGGCTTCTGGGTAACCTAATTGCAGTCTTCCAGTACCTAAAGGGAGCCCACAAGTAGTGATAGGACAAGGGGGAATGGATTCAAACTAAAAGAGGGTAGGTTTAGATTAGATATTAGGAACAAATTCCTTACTGTGAAGGTGGTGAGGCACTGGAACAGGTTGCCCAGAGAAGTTGTGGATGGCCCATCCCCAGAGTTGTTCAAGGCCAGGCTGGGTGTCACTCTGAGCAACTTGGTTTAGTGAAAGGTGTCCCTGTCCCTGACAGGGTTGGATGTAGATGTTCTTTAAGGTCCTTTCCAACCCAAACCATTCAATTAATGATTCTATGATTAAAAACTAACAGGAATGACTGAAGGTAAGCACAAGTACTTCAATGACTTAAAAAAAAAAAAAAGCGTGGGCATACAGAGGTTACATGCTGCAGCCAGGAAATCCATGCTGCTGGGATAATCCTGGTTTCCCCAGGATCAATTACAAATTGCCACACAATTCAGATTTGTGCAGTGTCACCATCTTACTGTCTTCTAAGACCCTCAGGATCCTGCAACCATTTAAGGAACTATTCTGGGACCATCACTGACAGAGAACATACAAGGTGGGAGACTTTCCTGTTGATGGTACTGATGGATAGGTTGGATGGAGCATGGAATTTTGTTCATTGAAAACCAGGAGTCATTAACTGAACACTAACATTATGTTAGTGTTAGATGTCTGAAAAGAAGAGAGTGAGTCTATACCTGACAAGCTTGTTGATGCTGTGCCGGTGAAGGCTGGGCCGCAATTTTAAGCTGCTACATCACAAAACCAGAATCTTGTGTTCTTTTAGGGCTGTCCCACTCATGTAGTCCCTACCACGGTCTTGGTACCTCCAAAGCCATTTTTTGCTGCTCCTTGATTTTGTGCGTGAGTTTGTGGCCTGACCCAAGACCCACCCACACTGAGTGTCTGTGTGATCACACACACAGCTCTTGGGCTGAGAAGTGTTTTGACATGAGGCCACTGATCATGCAATAATACAGGAAGTTCAGTGACTATAAAATTAAAGACTCAGTCCTCCCTACAGCTGCTTTGGTGATTATACAGGGCTGCTGCTGGCCTTTTAGAGAAACCAGGGCAACTGGAGTCTGGATTGAAAAACATTCACTGCTGGTGGTCTACATGGTGACTCTCTTCTCAGTCTGGGCCAATGTTGTCTGTCCACAGTGTGGCAAAATGCAACAGTAAAGGATTGTGAGCGAGAAAAAACCCCCCAACATACAGGTCTGTTGAGCACAGGGAGAGAAAAGGAAAAAAAATTTCCAAGTCTTTAATTATCAATTATTTTCAAGAACTTCACAATCTCATACGGGACTGTTTTGTATTAAAGTTGAATACTCAGATTAAAAAACAAACCACAAGAGAACCCTCCCTCTTGACAAGTCTGTTTTGCTTCCTGAGTGGTTGTTTAATTGAAGTTTAAGTCAGTAGAAGAGAGTCTTCGCTTATCCAAGCCCTGGTAGTACTATAAGCTTTTCTCACAGGTATACATTTAGACTGTGATCAGTCCTAAAGCATCTGTACAGGGGAACAGGCTGTATAAAAACGTGTATTGTACAACTTCTGTGTTGTTCTCTAACACTTAGTGCCAACTCTCCTCCCATCACACCTGTCTTAAGGGAAGGGCAGGGCACAGACAGCATTTATTGTTTATCAAGAATATTGCAAATATGTTCTTTTTTTGGGGGGGGGGGTGTTGGGCTTTTTTTGCTAGAAGTACAACAGAGAGGACTGAAAAGCATTGTGCTTCCAAAGCTTTTTGTCCTTTATGTTGCACTTAAGGAGCTCTGAAATAGCCATTTTTAGAAATTTGATTTTTAAGCAGTCAGTAAGGGGAGTGGGGTGGTGGTGAAGTCTTATAGTAAGCATTCACTGGCTTTAGGGTAGCATCAATTTTGAGATTTCAGTGATCAGTGGGAACATGATTCAATTTGCAAAGTCACCATTTCTTTCAACAAAATAGATCCAGGTTATTTGGATCTATAATGGTTAGGTAGGGTCAGTTGCCTATGAGGCAGCTAAAATACCTATAGTATGATCAAAAGAGGAAGTTTTGCATTTTTAAAAATGGTAGGGGGGAAAAACCTCTAACCAGTGTATGCTTGTTGCTTTATCACTATTGAACAAAAAGATAGGTGTTCAGCTTTTAGTAGGGGATATAAAGGCACCAGGGGTCATTCTTCATGCCCTTGTATCACTGTAAGTAGATGAATTATGTGGGCTTGAAGTATGGCTGTTAGACCATGGTATGGAGGCATGACGCCTAGAGGAGCTGATGCAATTTTGGTGCCCCTATGAGTCTAGGGTGTGCTAGGCTAAACATTATGTTTGCTGTGGAGCAGGTATTTACCAGTGGGTAGATGTAAAGACTATACAGTCCCAAGACATCCCTCTCGGGGATTAACTATGTTGATTAACTCCCTGTGAGTAGGTGGTGTGTGGAAACCTGTAGTCACTACTTTTGTAATGAAGCAGGCACATGATGGGTTAGCCCATAATACAAAATACAAAATGGCAGTGTAGGTAGTACTAAGAAATGAATTCTCCTTTCTTTTTGTTCCCAGCTTCTGTTTACCTTTGGATTCAGCTGCTTTTGTTTCAGACCAAAGGAGGATTTGGGCATCTAAAAACTTGTCTACTTTTCCCACATATGATAACTGGTCTAACAAAATGCTATACCTCTTCCATATCCACCTTGTTTATGAAGCCTCTATCAACATATCTACCAGAAAGCCACCTTTTCTTTCTCTTTCTGATGCATCACATAAAATACAGAAAAAATGCAGAGAAAAGGAAAATTCCAATCTGGAAAAAAATCAGGACAAATAAATATTCCAGGTGCTCCCTGGGTTTTCTAATCAAATATTTTGGTTTAGTTTTTGATTATTTAACACATGATACTAGAAATGTAAAACAATATTTAACAAAATCAAAGGAAAAAGTCTTTACAAACGTCTTGTTCCCAAGTCTCAAACACAATATTCTAAGATTGTCAGAGCTTTTATTTAATGGGCTGTTTTTTTCCAAAACAAGTTTATAATTCAACTAATTCATTTCTCAAAATGTGCTGATTTTTCAGAATCATGTATTTAGATAGAACTCAGTATAACTCAAAGTAAGTAACCTGAAAAAAGAGGCATTTCTGTGACCTAATATCTAATTACAGAAAGAAACGAGCAATGAACCTCATGAGCTCTGCAAAAATGCAAGAGAAATCATTTGAATGGCTGACCCAGTCTTGCTACCACACTTCCCTTCTATCACTTACCAGGACTTTGTTACGGAACTGTGGAAGCACGGGGAGATACACTGTTTCTGGCCTTCATGTCCATCTGTGCTTTGCTCCGTTTGGCCTGGGGGATAACACACACTCACCTAAGTGATTCCAGAATATTCCTGAGGTAGATCCTCTACTCTCCATCCCTGTAGAGAAAATAAGACATCGGCAATGCATGCACCCACTCCGGGTACAGAAACAGTGTTTAGTTTTGTAGGTAAAGTTATGCCTCACAGTGCAAATGGATTTTCTTTCTTCCTTTCTTTCAAGCATTTAACTATTTTTGTATTGAACTGATGTGAAATTACATGAGTTTGGATAATGTAAATAATGCATGAGATTTAAGACAAACACATGAAAGGAGCTTATTTTTCATGTCAAACAATTCTTTATTTTTTATGGTACAAATTAAAAGTGACAGATCTGAAGCTGTTAAGAAATACACAAAGTGCAGCTTTACTGACCATACAGATATTGCTCTAGATTAAGTACAGTTTTTGTCAGTTTTTTTTTTTTTTTCATGTTAAGCAACCTGTGCAGATAAATCAGCTTTGGTTTCAAAGTCAGAGTAGTAAGGAGCTTCTATATATCCAGTTTGTTTTCTTGGTCACAAGTCCACCATATTGACTCCTTTTGCATTTATTCATATTTTTTAACAACACAATACAGTCCATTTTGTACTGCCATCTTTCCTGCTGCATGCTCCATGCATGGAAAAACAGATCTCTTTGCAGTGCTTCATAAGTGACCCTGGTGACCATTCTGTAGTTTATAGCACATAAGACAAAAAAAAAAATAAATAAAAAAATAATAATAATAATAATAAATAATATCACTTTTTAACAATAAATAAACAAATGTGCCCCACATAATCTTGAGTTGGAAACAAGCAAACCACGTGACGAAAAGCTCATTACAAAATGTTTTCCAAACAGATTTTACAGTCAAACATTGACATGGAAATCAATTTACTCTCTTATCTTCTTATTTGAATGTTGGTCAATAACTGGGTACAAGTAGAGTGCTGAGGTAAAACACTGATGAACAGTTTTATTTTTGTATTTTTTTTAAATAGTAACAGTTTAGTATTGCGAGATTGTCAGCAACATTTAGCCATATCTATACAATGTGCATATACCTACATACATTGAGCTTTGGTCCAGCATTGAGAAGACGAGCAAAGGCATTTTACATATTTCTTTTTGGTTATAGCTTGAGTTCTTTGATACGCCTCTACTTGTTCCTTCCTAGCTCCTTTTTGCTTTCTTGTTCTCTCTTTTTATTTTTTTTCTTTTCATTTATTTTCTTTTCTTTTTTTGGCTTTTTTTTCTTTTTCAGTAGTAACATAAAGAAATTTGAACCATTTGAATGCATTTGATTTCTTCAACTGTCCAAAATAGCTTTTTAGTGAAAAACATAAAAAGACAAAATCAGAACAGTAAGTGAACCCTTGGTTCATTATTCAAACAATATTTATACATATATTTTAAAAAATTCAATTATCAATAAATTGGAAAACCATTAAACAATCACATATGACTGAAGAGACTTTTGTTTCATTTGCTGGTAGCAATCTATCCTTTAGTCACATGCAAAATTAAAAGGTATTCAAATGTTATGAGTACATGAAAATTGTTTACAAATGGAAATGAGAAATGTTGCTAGTAACAAAATAAAACAAAATATTTATGGCCTCCCAAAGATATATGACTCACACATAATTTATCTTCCTAAGAATCTGTTCAGGCACCATTTATGCCTCATTGCAAATATTTGTTTATAGAAAAATTAATATAAGAAGCATTACAACACTTTATAAATAATTTACAAAACATAATACAAAATTAGAAAACTGTAAAAAAAATCACTGCACATGAATGGTTTTAAGACTGTGGGATGAACATTATTTTTTCTTCCAAGCTGGCAATTTATATTTATTTTACATTTTCACTGTCCTAGTTTTATCCTTCTGACATGTACTTTGGAACAGAAAAGAGCTTATGTAACTGCTGCCAGCATATTTTTAAACATTTAGTATCTTTCATACACTGTTTAGTTAACTTTTCTTCTTGAGGGATTTTTCTTCATGGAATTTAGAGCAGTCCCTGGGAGAATTGGAAATTTCATTTTTAGGCAAAGAATGGTTGATGGGGATGGAGCGGAGGAGACTATGGTCTTAAGGATGACTGAATGGGTAATTGTGTATGTGGCATTAATGACTGGGGAATTAGGACTGTACTGGAGACTCGGGTAGGATTTCAGGAGTGTCTGCTTCCAAATACGATCTGTTCTTCCCTGCTTCCCTGTTGGCTTCTGGTTGGTGGTCTGATCGTTATGTAAATTGAACTGTGGCCACAAATTTGGGGCTGTTTGATATAGATAACAGAGATATTTCTGTGGATATAGGTATCTTGGGAGACAGAGGGCAAAAAACCCCAAAAACTCAGAGGGGCAGATGTAGCTATGAGACTCTCTTTACTTTACATGCTCAGCTTGGGTAAAGCATCTTCTTTGTCCCTCACAATTTGCCTGTGGTTACTGAGGTGATTTTCCCCCAGCAGTTATTTATATATCAACAGTTGAAAAAGAGTCAATAACAATCTTCACTCTCCTCCTCATAAAAGCAATACTGAAAATATCCTTAAACATACCCTGCTGAAGCTTAAAGCCTAAAATGCATTTGCTGGACGTGAGCCCATCCTGGAGTACTGGATTGTCAGTGCTCTCCAACCCTGACCTTTGAGAGTGCTCACATTTAGAAGCAGTTTCTGGCCCTGATAATGGTTCTCTGAAACCTTAAAACTCCCCCAGCCATGCAGCAAATACCACACTCTACAAGGCAAATCCTATTACTAAAATAGTGAGGGCCAGATTCAAAGCCTATTGAAATCAATGAAAGTCTGTTTCTTTCACTAAGTTTTGGAGTTCTTGAGTTCTGGAAAACTCTGTTAATAAAAGAGGTGTTATTTGAAGACTCCAGCACTTCAGGAACTTCCTTCAACATCCTGGGTAGACCGGAATCCAGTACAACCATCCTAAGGTCAAGGACTGCAATCAGGAGTTATACGAGCAGAATTTTACCATTTCTACAGTGAGTTGAACCAAATCACTGATATTTTTTTGGGGAAGACCTGATCAAGACGCAGCTTTTACCCTAACAGGGCTGAACCCTAAAGGCTGGAGCAGAACTCAGCCAAAGATGAAAATTGCAGACAACCCTCACAGGTCAGCCCATACCCCATCAAGAACCTGAAACACTTTTCTTTTGCCCTAAGCATTGGTATACTTGTAGGTCCAATGACCACAGTATTTTAGTGGTTTGTCCAATCAAAAAGGAAGCCACAGAGGTAAACTGTCTTTAAAGGAAAATATTGCAGGTGACCCACCTTACATTACCAAGGGATATTCACTGGGTTTCTCTACAACCCAGTTGCTTATGCTAGCCAGTGGCCACAGCAAACACCAGCAGAAACATATCATCCTACTGAAGAAGTTAACAGGGCAAACATCAGTATCAGGATAACACAAAAAAAAGCAAAAGAAACAAAACACTACCATTGAAACAGTCCATAGTGATCTAACGATCAAAACCTCCTCATCACTTCTTGGCCTGTCAATTCGTTTTCATCAGAATCTCAAAAAATTTCTTTGGCTAGCAGACTTTGGAGAGAAATTGCTTCAAGTGGAACTATAATATAGATGCAGTATCAAACCAAGTGTGCAGTTTATATTTATACTACAAAATGAGTTTTGGTAACCTCTGCAGGTTCACAGCCAAAGGACAGAGAAATCCCAAGCCACACATTTGACAAAAAGCGCAATTATGGCTGACAGTCCATCAGACATAATCCTAATCCTTCTTGGTCCTCTGTTGCATTTCAGTGTATCAATATAAAAGTCTTCAAACAGTACTGAGTTATGTGGGTTTGGGGAAGGGGTGGAGAATGAGCTGGAGGGGAGGAGGCAGTAAATAGAATCAGAACCAAAAAATAAAAAAAGAAAAATGCAAACCAAAACACACACCCTTAGAAGAGAAACACCAAACCCCACAAATCACAATAAAAAGAAGTTATTTTTGGCACCCAAACACTAGGAGATTGCAAAACTCTGGACTAAAAGAAAAGGAGGTGACCACTATGGAATGGCTTTAACACCTGTTTGTACACACCTGCAGGGGTGCAAACAAGAACGAGAGAAACTAATCCTGTTGTTTTTCTCTTTGCAAAATACAAATGTAAAAATTCATAACACAATTTTACACTCATAAAAGAGTAGACTAACAATCTAGTTTGCAATGCCATGTTTCTGACTTTGGTTAATAGTTTTCATAGTGAATCAGCACTTGATACCTGAAAGGCTACAATCATTCCTCCAGGTGGCAGGCTTGTATTCTCTTTTAAACAGATAAAAGTTTTTTCTTTTTTTTTTTTTTTTTTTTTTTTGTTTTTCCTTAAAATGCGTTCATATTTTCATAATATACAGAAAAAAGTAAGCAGTTATTTGGTTTACTTTAAGTCCATTTAAAAAAACTGGCTTTTTCTTTTTTTTGGGAACTAATTCTACGACACACACACAGACTAAGTGTCGTGTATTTTTTTTTTAAATAGGAAAACCCATGGACATTTATAAACTGTTCTGTCCTTCTTGTAGTTTTCTCAGTCTTTTACTTACAAGGGTGATGAATAGGTATTTTCTCAGAGTTCAAATGGTTGCGTTTCTGTTGGTGCAATTTTGTTTTCTGTGTGGTTTTGTTTTGTTTTGCTTAGTTTTGTTTTTAGGAATTTTCTTCCAGAGAGTCTGTTAAAGGCTCCATAGGAACTGCTGTCGCAGGCTCATGTTGTTTCAAACGTTTAATTGTGTTCTTCAGTGCTTGCCTCTTATTGCAGAACCAAACTCTAACTACTTCTCGGTCATAGTTCAGTTTCTCTGCAATCTCTGTCATTTCTTGCCCAGAGGGATGTGTGTTCTTCTCAAAGTGGGCATTCAAGATTTCAAGGGCTTGTGGCGTGAATGAGGTACGCCTCTTGCGCTTTTTGGATGGTTCACTTCCAATAAACTCGGTAAGGTTCTGCATACCTGCTCGATGGCGGGCCTCAGCCTCAGCCATCCACCGCTCAAGCACCGGCTTTATCTTCTGGGCACTTTTAGGGGTGATGTCCAGCTTTTCAAACCTGGCAGGATACAAAAGGCCAGGGTTCAGTTTGGCTGTCAGACTGCTAGCTATAGTGTTCTCTTGGGCTTCCTGTGGTAGGAAAAAGTGGCTTCTCAGGATGGTGTGTCTGAGGGAAAATTGAGAAAGAAGAGTCTTACACTGATGCTCTGCCAGGGTGGGACTTCCTGCCTGCCTAACAAATTGACTGGCAGAGGTAATTTACAATGGATTATGAAAACTGTCAGATAGGTATATCTATAAGTATATATATAAAACTAGATATTTAAGCTAACACATAATGAGCACTACAACAAAATTCTAAGTACACTAAATAATGTAGGTTAAGAGTCACATTTTCATATTTCTGATGATCTTCACAACCCTTAAGACTAAGTCTAACTACAGGAAATGATATCAAAGGCAATTGCATTTTATAATCTTATCTTTGTGATTAATCCTTTTGTTTTCCTTCCCATCCTGTGTTGTCCAAGCACCACAGCCTTAATAATACAAGCCAATGGCAGTCACTAGCCTCTGAATATCAGGTTTCCTTTCTGTTTTTTTCAGCAATTTTCACTGTTTGTAAGTTAATGCTATATCCCTTTTCTAGGTTGGAAAAAGATTCCCATAGCCACGGTGGTGTTCAGCTGAAACAGCTGGACACTTTGCAATTATCTTGACTGCCCCCACTATGTGCAAAGAAGAACTCATGTTTTCCAGATGAAACCCAGCATAATAGTCTACTAATATGCTGTGGCACCAAGCTGAGTTTATTGTGGGATTTCTGCAAACTGTACCGGAATGATATCATTTCCTGTAAATAAGGTCTTCTATATATCATTTTGCCATCAAAAGTCTTTTGCCAAACCAGATTTTACAAGTATTATAAAACATCTGGGAAAGCAGCCACACAAAGCTTTAATCCTTTCAAAAACAAGCAGAAGAGTTGAGTTCACACTTCAAGTCTTATAGGTAATTGTTTCTTTCCTTTACTGAGTTCATCCTCTTTTGCTACACATTAAAAAATCTTAACCCAAGTCTTCTGGTGCCACCCATTTGTATTTCCCCACTTCGCATTTTGCAGTATTTAATGTTGCAGAAAGGCAACAATTATTGCATGATGCTGCTCTGCTCTCCAGCCCAGCCAGTGCTGAAACACCACCACCACTACTAATCACAGCATGCTCTGGAGATGAGACAACCGAGTCAGTGCCTTTGTGCAAAGAAACTCAGTGACTGGAGTTGGTAATTTTTAGTGTCACTATTCAGCATGTGGAGGCAGCAGAAAATATTCCAGCAAGAAACAAAGCATTTCTCACAAACAAAGAATAAGACAAGGAATAATTTCAGATAATAACACTCCAAAGAATTTGTAACTGGTGCCTGACATCCTAATGTGTTATTGACTACAACATGTCCAGTGATATTTCAGGCTGAAGAGTGTGTTTTCAAATGTATTGTCTCAAGCTAAAGAAAACACTGTTATTTGCATGCAGAACATATCAAGGTGATATATTGCTAATATGACCTGCACAGGTCAGCAGGAGACTCTACTTTTGTCTTTGAGTTGGTTGTTTAACTTGTTTGCCTTACTGTCTCTTCCATTAACCTGGAGTTCATACTGAATCTCCTTTGGTACCCTTAAAAGAAAAGTTAAATCTACTTTTTCTGAGGAACATATACTTGTTCTTCAACACAGCTTGTCTTGGTGCTTAAGAAAAAATGCACAGTCATAGCTTGTTATTACACTCTGAAGTGGTATCCATCTGGAGCATGCAAAGGAAATTAAAAAAACCTGTAACCTTGCAAGTATTTGGGACCAGCTTGTGCACCCATTCCTCATGTTCTGAGAAATTTGTCCCTCTAAGGATCCCTCTGTAAAATGTCTCACCATCCCCAGTGTTTTCTCAAGGTGTGAGAAAGAATGAATGAAATGAGAAGACAGAAAACTAAACAAAAGCAAAGGAAACTGCAACGTGTCTCTTTAAAGTATAGTATATTAAAGAGCAACTTAAGGCTACAAAAAATTGTCAGTTGCTAAAACTCCACCTGTTTTAGGCATTCTTTATCTACTGACCACAAGGAAGAAAAAAAAAAGAATTAAACCTTAGTAATAGGGAACAATAGCATTCATATCATTGGCACTGCTTGTTACTGTTGATACTGTAGTACATGTTTGGCGTAACGATATACAAGTCTTGAAACAAATTTCCCAGCAGTAGTATCCTTGTATAGACTGAATAAAGGTTATTTTCTACAGGGAGGTATCTTATAAGAAAAAACAGTAGGGGAGACCATAGAAGTGAGAGGATCCTATGGAGCTTTTTGTATTTAACAACAATCAATGGGTTTTATGGAAAATCATTGAGCAAAATGTGAGCTGCAAGCTCACTACCCCATACTGATGTTATTTATAACCTTAGTCTTTAACTGCAGGAAAAGTACACTTCCGTTCTATGGGGAATACATTAAAAGTATAAAGAGCAGATAAAAAGACAGAGCATTTCATGGATCACCAAGAACGAAATCCACTTAAATGAGCTTAGAGTTGGTTTCTTGGCTTTCACTGATGGGGAAGGACTATAAGGCATTGCCCAAGAGGAAAAAGCTGTTACCTAAGTGTGTTTGTTACCTCATGCATAAACATGGGATTACTTTAACACACATACATGTATATAAGGCGTTTGCTTCTACTTTAACTCTGTCAAGACTGTATTATGATTTCTTATGATTAGGACAGATTTCTGCTTCTGTTTTGCATGCATGGGTTTGTCTTTTTTTTTAGTAAACATTTGGGTGATAAAAGATGAATAGCTGCTGGTTTGCAAGATAGCAGGAAGGCTATTTTTTTCCCTTCTATGTTGCCTAGGTAAATCATCATTAACATCCTCTATGTGAAGTGCTAACCACAGTAATATAGGTTTTAACTTAGCAGGGATGCAGCCATGAAATATTTGTTCAGTAACCCTATCTGTAGAAAATGGCACAGTATGAAGAGGGTCAGCTGGTGCTTATCCAGCATCAGCAGGGTCTCCAGCTCATCTACGGAATTAAGTCTCAGTGCCAGGAACATTGTTTCTCACTTGTTTAAAAAAGAAGGAGATAAAAATAAAAGACCAAAGTTACTCTAGGCTTACACAATAAGAACATTTTATCTGTCAGTTAACATTATTGGCCAATTTAAATCTCAGGTTAAATAATAAACTGTAAAGACAGGAGACTCAAACACAAGCATGCTCCTCACAATAAGCTGAATAATTATTAAGAATAAAGGGAGGAGAGTTTATGATGTAACTTGTTACCTGCAGATGGCAGACTGGCTATAGGCTGGGCCTTCAGTGGCGCTTAGGGCTTGGCCAACTTGAGTCTGTGTCAGGCCAAGGGACAGGCGCCGGATTTTAAAGGCTTTGGCAAATTCTCGGATTTCTTCCAGGTTAACCCCATCCACCTCTCCAGTGGCTGTTTGAGGATCTGTTGAGATATTTTTTTAATCATGTCAGTTCTTCGCATCACATATCAGTGAGATAAGCTTACACCAGCTTTCATTGTCAAGATGTTCAAGTTCAATTTTTTTAATACTTATCCCTTTCTCGTCTTCCCCAAACAGAAACAGACTTGCCTTGTCAGGTGTGTCATGAAGTATGTTCTTATTGCTAAAATGCTAACTAGGCTGCATTGTTTGCAGGTGCTGGTGGAAGTTTTTCAAGAACTGAACTTCTGAAAATGGCCAGCTCACCTCAGAGTGAGCCCAGGTGCCTGGGCTCTTCACTGACAGTTAAGCCTTGCAAAATCTTCCCTGGGTTGGGGAGTCATGTTCCCTGTTTTCCTTTCTTATCAGATAGAAAAAGAAGGCTGATGTTAATATATTTATTTCCAGTTTGTGGGGAGGGCTTAACTGCTTGGATTTTTAACTTAAAATCAAGACTTTCTGACTTATCTAAAATTAATGCCAAATAAGGAGATTCACAACCATTTCTTCCCTTTTCCACAATACACAACACAAACTGCCAGCTGAACATCCAAAATAACCCAGCAAATGAACAAACCCAATCAAAATGCTGCCTTTAAACCCCATTTGATTTAAAAATCCTCTTTAAAATATGCCCTTCTGAGAAGCAGCCTTTCAAGCTTTTCATTCTGCCTCCCATCAGGTTGATAATCAAGGAGCAGCAGCACTGGATTTGGATGGTAATGCTGCACAGTTTTTTACTTTTACATTAGCCCCTCACAAGATAATACTTATGATGCTGTGAGAATAAATCTGTCCTTCCTCTCTATAGCAGTTTACTGACACAGAAGCCTTTGTCCCTGAAAGGGCACATAATAAAGCATGTCTACCACAGGAAAGCTCCTTTGGAGATGGATAACTCAGTCAATTTAGGACTTATCAAGGGAAATGACACAACAGCTGGAGAATGGAACTTTCTCCCCCCTCCCAAGCTACTGATCCCTGACTAAATGAAAGTGTTCACCAAGTCAGAGACAGCATGGGACTGGGACAGTGGAAGATTTCAAAGTGTTGTGCAATCCTGCATGTAGTGAAGCCATTCTCCCGGTGAGACATCTCTATTGTTCTTCACCTCATTCCTCAGATTTGGAGGTGAAAAGTTTGCAGCACAATAACCCCTCAATTTCTGTAAATGCAAGCAGTTGTGCAAGGACAGAGCTAGACTACATTACTAAACCCTATATAAGAGTGGCTCCTGCTAGTATGACATAGCTGAGGGCTCATCAGCATTACAGTAACAAAGCTTTTATTTTCAGGGGTTTATAAGCCTGGTGTAAAATTTCCTTATGATGGAAAAATATCCTACAAAAAATCTTTTTGTCCAATAATATACAGAGGGTAAAGGGTTTTCTGATATATAAATTCAGCCTGTATCTATTCGTTTCTGGAGTGTAAGAAGCAGACACAGCAACAGTATTTTTAAAATTCTTGTGTATGCAACCAGGGACCACAGGTAAACATTCACATAGGCTGAACCTAGTTTTGACAATGCTTCACACTCAGAATCATCTCTCCTGTTCTCACTGCTGTGCTTGAGCTCACCTGTACACCCATTTACTCCTTCAGTATAAAGCTAGGGTGCATATAATTTGCTTTTAAGTAGTCAGTGCTATGACAGTGGCCACTCAGGTTTATAAAGTAATCACTTCCATAAAACACAAATAGTGCTATGAAGACCATTCTATTGACATTATCATGTAACAGCATAGGTCTGTTTTACTCTATTGCTATTAAGATACCATCAATACGTAGTCTTGGACTCTGTGAACTAATATATGCATGTACATAAATACATTCAAATGAATAACGGGCTTTGTTTAAGCACATTCTGAGCTCTCAGAATAGTTGTGCATATAGTGCACTTCATATTTTAGGAAGAGTGGCTTATTGAAGAAAGTAAATAAACAGTTGTTTCTTAAATTAATTGAATATTCCAGGGAAGGCAGCCCAGTACCAACAGGAAAATAGAGAATACCAGTTCTATTGAGTGGCTGGAACCTACAGTAACATTTCAAGACTCCAAGTTTATATTATTGCATGAGGAAACAATGGCTGTTGTGTCTATGAAACTATTGGGTGCTGGAGAAAGGTAAGAGAGTTGTCTGGGACCATTTCAGGAGGTATGTGTACATATCTCATAACAAAAAAAGAAAGACAGACAAAATTTCACCAGTTGTCCTGGTGGATGGTGAAGGTAGGTGAGGAGAGTTGAGGAAATAAAATCCACAGGCTCTCCTGCATTGAAATCCCTTTTTTTCTACTGAAGGGAATACTTCTCTCAATTTCGAATTCTTCTGAAAATCCCACATGAGTTTGTTGGCAAGTGAAAATATGCTGTGATTTTAATAGTTAGGGGAAAGAACTGCTTCAGAGAAATCAGTGCACCCTGAAGGAGAAAGCAAATTTCTGTTGTACAGGGTTCTGCCACAGGAGGGATTACAGGGGGATGATTTCCCAAGTCAGACAGGAGGAGAAATAGCTGGCAGGGGAGGTCCAATGGAAAGTAAATTGGATAAGAAAGGCAAGACAAAACACTGATAATGGAAAATGGACTGGAGCTCAGGGGAAAAAAAGAATAATAATTTGTTTATGGGAAGCATTTTAATTTTATAGTAACAGATGACAGTAAAATGAATTTGGAAGGAAGAAAGGAACTTCATGGAAACACAAGCCTCAGAACGAGGGGAAACTAGTGATTTCCACAAAGAGAACATATGGTGGAAAAGTTAAAGAAATGAGCAGAGGGATGCATAGGAAAATGAAATTAAAAAAGGTAGGAATAATGATGTAGAATTGAAAGAAGAGACAACAAAAAAGACAAAAGAGAATAGAGACAGGATGAGACAATATGAAGAAATCATACAGAAGGAACAGGAAGAGTAGAGATGGATCTTGAATAAGTTCATCTTGCTTAGGCAGAACTTTTTTTTAAACATCCTTTATTTGGAAATAACCATATTTTTTTTGCCTTTAGAATAACTAGCACTTTTTGCTGGTTAGGGATGAAGGGGTGATGATGAGATAAAAGGGAAAAGCTATAAAGAAGACCACAATCCAGGGGAAAAAACAGGACAGGAATTAAAAAAGAAAGGAAAATATATAAAAAAAAGTAAGGAGATGCATCTTTTTAAAATTCAGACAAATGTTAAAGAAAAAATACAAAATCATAGAGAAAATAAAGTTATTAAAGACCAGTTCTTAATACCTTCTCATTGTACTTTAGTAATTTCTCTGATATGAGGCAACCTCTTGTAAAAGAGTTACTTTCTTTGCAGTCACTGTGCAAAAGCTTGCCCCAAATATTTATTTACTGAAGTTATGTTGCTCTATGCACTTTGATTAACCAAACAAGCTGGCTGAATGTGCCTGGTTTTACGTGAACTTTGCTATATTTAGGAACAATTTCTGGAATATGGAAAATCTCTGCAAAGGTACTCAACTCTAGGACTGCTGCTGGAGGTCTGGACTGCAGTTTTGGAAGGGATGAGGAAAAGGAAGTAACAATATTCCTACCTCAGGAGGGATGAAGCAATCAAAGGAGGCCGCAAGTTGTTTCTTGCTGCCCTCATGCCTATGAACTTCTTTCAGAACCACTGACCCATTGCCCACCTCATCACACTAAAAAACTTTAAATGGACTTTTAGACACTGCTTTTAAATCGCAGGCCTGGTATACAAAGGTCTGCAGCTGGTGTGGAAGCTATGAAGCTAAGAAGGCTTTGTTTAATTATGGGCCACAGCCTTGACAAAGAGGTGCTCCTGCCCTTTAGGGATCTGTGTCTAGAAGCTGAGGAGATTCTACAAAGAAGCAAAACAGGGATGACTTTCTGTCTATTTGTTTCCCCATGTGCAGTCACATTTGTATGCAAATGGATTTTCAGTCACATGAAACAATTTTCAAATTCATGAAGATCGTTTAATACTATTTGTCCAAAAAGTATCACTGGTTTATTAGCAACAATAAAAAGCTATGAAGGATCCTGTCTGACTTTTCATGTTCCATTACACAGGTTGTTTGATCTTTTCTTACTGCACTGATCATATTTTCCTCTTTCTTGTAGGCTCTTTCCACACTACTAAAAAGCAGTAGGTAGCTCTACTGTGCCCTGGAACACCATCACCATCACTGTGGCAGCTCAAGCAGGTTTAGGCAGGCAGTGTTAGCTCCAGTTTGTGCTTGGCTACATGCTTTCAAGGGTATGTTGGACAGACATTATGGATCCTTGAGATGGCTGGTTTACTTCTATCTGTGTGAGAATGCTATGTAAATGGCAGAAGTGAGTTGATCTGCCTCTCATGCTACTCCTTCTGTTGGTCTTGAGTGGCTAGAGACTGGATGAAGCGGGAAGCATAAATTCAAAACAACTCTAGGAGTTTTTATTTATGTATAATTATCTATTATGTTTTTTTTTTTTTTTCAGGAGATCCCAATCAATAACATCTTCCTTTGGAATGCTCTTAAGACTCTGAATTCTAGTGAGTTAATGTCCAAATGCAACACCTTCCTCAATCTGATAGGATGAAAAGTCTCTTATGGTTGTGGCTCTAGCCTGCTTTGTGACAGGACAACAGTAAAGACAGAGAGACTGACTTGTTGTTCTTCTTGGTGATCATTTCCCATACTCCTCTGATGGCTTCTAGGGAGTGTGGGAGTGGCATCAGCATGATTTGGATGCAGAGGGGGCAAAAATTAACCTTTAGTCTAGAAAAGAAAAAAAATGATGGAAGGAAAAAGCCAGACTTGAAGACTACTAAGGAGCATGGATTTGAGTCTGGACTGGAGGGAGAGAGGGTCTGACTGTGCAGAGAGTAGTAATCACTGTGGTAGAGGAAAGAAAATAGGTAAAAAGAAGTAGTACTAGTGATAAAATAAGATAGAGGAGGACAGAAACTACCTAATAAAAAGACTGGTAACAGGGCACAGGTATGGTCTGGGGGCAGCGACTGAATGAGAGCTGGAGGGGAGGAAGTGAAAAGGGAAGAGGAGCTGGGCAATGATGGACTATAGTGAAAGAACTGCAGGGAGAAGGCTAGAGGAAAATGGAGGCAAAGGGAGCATAGACTGTGTGGAGAACAGTGTGAGGAAGTAATGGGACTGGAAAAGGACAAGCAGTGAATGGAGTCAAGCCTGAGAGGATCAAATAAAAATTCTATGTTCATTTGTGTATCTCCCACTCATGCCCAAATAGAATCATAGAATCATAGAATCCATCAGTTTGGAAAAGAAATCCGAGAGCGTCAAGTCCAACCCCTGACATATAGATATTCCTGTGCTCTCAGCCAAAAGCATAAGCACAGCATGTATCTTATTCCTTTTAGAGCAGGACAAACAAGGTGATAACAGAATTATCAGCTTTTCCATCCATCCAACAGAAGATCTCCTATTTCCAACTACAAACATAAGCATTATCTCACTATATGATTGATTTATGTTACTATTTTCCTTTTGTAACAACCTTGAAATGTATCCAAGGAAAAAATAAAGGTAAAAGAACATCCTTAGAGTTGCAGAAATAAACACGCAGAAGCTACAAAATTCTGGAGTTACAACAGCCCACAACACAGTGTAGCATAGATTTTGAGCCCTGGACTACCAGTTAATTTTCATGTGCTCTGTCCAGTGCACAGGATGAATTGTCCTTCATTACAGTTGAAATGATTGATGTATTGCCTTTTTACTTGTTCAGTGTGTGGCTCCAGACCCCTATTAAAGTCCTTCACTCAAGACATCTCCTCTTGAGCCCTTCTGTTTTTTTTTAAATCTTAATTTATTTTATTGTGTTTCTACAAGATGAGAGTCTTCCCCTTCTCATTCACAAAGAAGTGGACAGATATTAAGGGAAAAAGCATTTTTAGGTACCCAGTCTATGTCAAGCAGGAAATGGTGTTTTAGATTGTCTTTAAATGGTTCTTGATACAGTTCTACAGTGAAAGGGCACTTAAAATTGTAACTGTGAGTACCAGGTTCTTCTGTAAATTAAAGTCCAGAATCTCAAGCTGGATATTGAGGGAGCACTTGTGAAAAATCTCTTTTAAGTGATTTGCCTGCTGTTGCACTAGAATTACATAGCAGACAGAAAGCTTCAGGTCTTTAGGCTGCTATTGCCTGAGACAAGACCATCCTTCACCCTTCTACAGTTCCCTACCTCAAATGTTATGCAAACTGGGGAACAGCTCAGTGAATCAGGTAAGGAACAAACCTTGGGACAACAGCCCCCCTGTTGCATTAGTAATTCTGATGCATCCCTAAGACAATTCCATTGGGAATGCACTGAAAGAAGGATGAGGAAAAAAAATCATGATTGCATGATTTTAATCACAATAAAATCTTGTTATAATAAAATACATGTTCTAAGAGGAATTGCATACAATTGAACAAATAATTATTTTTCTAGCATCTCCTAAATTTTGACGGGCTTATTCCGCAAATTTAAAAGAGCTTCTTCCATGTTGCTTTTATTGTAAATAAAAATGTCCACAAGAGGAGCTATTCTGGACTAGCCATTGAAATATAACTTATTCCACACCAGCTATTTTACTCAATTTTCCCACATAGACAAGGGGTAAACTTTATGTATTTTTAACATGAAGCCTCTTATGCTTACAAGCATAAGAAACATGAGAAAATTTACTGACAGATCAACAGCAGTATATTTATATCACTATAATTATAACCATAGCTATATGCAGATATTTTTATTACAGAATAAAAGAATTCACACTGGGAGTCATATCAGCATAATTTTACCACTCTAGCTCTACTAGATACTTCCCCATATAAACAATCTCTGAAATAAACTAACCAACATTTTTTCATGTATTTTCTTGCATGACAGTTTCTCCAAGCCCTTCATAAGCTTGTATCAATCATATATTTTACATTAACAATATGGCATGAGCTATAGTGTTTGTTTACGTGAAATATGTACATGAAGCATCACTGAACAAGGTCATCCAAATCACTTGATTTTTGCAGATGTGCAAAAACTGTTAATATGTATACTCTCAGCCCATTGTTATTGCTATGTAAAGACCAAAGTTAGGGCTGATAAGCTAATAGCAAAGACCCTGATCTGTGTGATCTGCAAGAAAGGGCTGTTCAGGTCAGCTAACACTAAAACTCAGTTTTACTGCAGCATGCTTCTTTCTTCTCCCCCACATGTTCCAGTTTGTTCTTGTTTAAATTGTGCAAGTTTTTCCTGGCCAGAAAAGTCTCTTACTCTAGATTTGTGTCATACGAGGGTTTGTAAAATGGTTCACTATATCAACTAAACAAAAAAACAAGCAGCTTAACCGAAAGTAGGAGAATCTGTTTGCCCACCAAATTCTGAGAAATGTAATTCATTATATTGACTAATTCAAAAACTTCTCATTTCAAAAAAACATAAACTACATTTCAGTTATAAGAATTGCCCTCATGAGTCAATTAATGGCTGCTACCATTTTTACGACCATTTACAGCATTGATTACAATTTCTCAAGGCACGTTTACCTTCAGCCACATCCACGACAGCACTTAGTAGTTCTTACTGGCGAGAGTCACTCTACTTAGCAATATACAATCTACTATATTTAAAAAAACAAAAGGAGGGAAAGCAGATCAGGGAACTCAGCATCGAGGAGGACAAACAGAGGGGAGAATTAAGGAGAGCCAAGGAGCAATACTTACTGCTGACTAACTGGCCAACGCTCAAAGCTGAAGAGGAAGAGGATGAGGAGGAAGAAGAGGAAGCCTGACGCACTGGGCTTTGAGACATAGATGCTTGACTGTGAGCCAAATGCAGGAGATTGGATTGTGAGGCTGCTTGTCCCACTTGCGTCTGGGAGGGCTGATGGAGCTATATGTTAAAATGTAAAAATAGGTATTTAGAAAGTGAACCAGTAATAGAAAACCTTCAATGCACCATGTCACCCATCTGCTTCTGGGGAACAAATCATATCGGAGCACTAAACACCATGGGCTTTGTTTGGGTGACTGTTACAGAGCAATCTGAGCTGTTTTGAATGTTGTCTTTCAATTTTTACTTAGTTTAACTGGATACTTAATCTAACTAGAAGCTAAATACTGTTTTTGAAATTGGTGATGAGACATATGACATCCACAGCAGCATTCTGACTTATTAAATATATGAGCTTACCTTTTTTCTGACTCATTAAGTTAGACTTTTATTCCCTACATAGGTTCTCCTATAAATCAGCATTGTTTGGGAGACGTCCTTTCATACTGCAGGACCAGGGCCAAGAAGAGTGGGAATGGGGAAGAAGGACATAAATCGGGGCAAAATCTCTTTCCTACGGGAAGTAATAATTTGTTTTATGACATCAGATCTATCAAACAAATAAAAGTGATGAAAACTTATTTCACAATGGATGAATTATCCTTGACTAAAACTCACAGGGAAACTTCTGATCCCCACTCACATCAGGACTGTAAGCAGTAAGACACACATAAAAAGTCTAGTGAGTATGGTAAATGCAAATGATACACTGTGATACATGAATCTGATTTTCTAAAATTTTTTTTTACAAATTTACAAGATTATAGTCTTTGGTTGTTCACTAGGGGAAAGGAAAGAACCATTAATCCATTCTGCCTATTGTCTTGGTTTGAAATTGCCCCCCCCAGGAGCCGGGGGGCCTAGAGGTGAGGTGATTGGGTCCCAGGGCAGTCTCCCCTGAAGGATCAATCACCGCTCATTTTGTTTGCTCCTGTGAAAAATCAGATATACACAACCACCGGAAGTGTGAGTTGGCAGCTGTGTAAGAGAGGATTAGAGACATGAGGGGTGGCTGGGGGGCCCCTGAATCAAGGGGGCCCCTGGGCCTCTTCTGCCTTGGTTCGACTAGGGCTGGGGCAGTTTCCTTGCCTGTTCTTCCCCTCCACTGTAAAGGCAGTTGGAGCAGACTTGGAGGCCAGCTAGGAGAGTTGCAAATATTTACTCCCCTAGCAGGCATGCTTGGTACTGGACTTGTGGCTGTGACTTGTTTGCAGAGCTAGAAGAATTCCAAGTGAAATTGGAAATGGGACAAAGGGTTTGGGAGTTGCCCCTGCAGAGGTCTGACCAGGGGCAGCCGAAAACTCACTTGGAGAAGGAATGAAAATTCCAGGACGCGTGCACGTGATAAGCTGAACTGAACTACAGCAGCTACAGAAGCGAGGGAGAGAGAGAGAGAATCACACAGCAGAGACTGGCACGGAACCAAGAGAGCACAGACTCAAACTATTTTCTTGGACTTTGTAAGGAAGAAAAGACTTCAGTAAACAGCTGGAGGTTGGTGGGGGGAGCGGATCAGAGAAAACCTTTTTTCCCTGAACACTCCCATGAGAGAAAGACTGCTTAGCTATCAGCCCAAAGGCTTTTCCTGGACTGAATTAAGGGAGAGGCTTAGAGGGACTGATAGAAGTGTGTAACATTGTATATATATAGTTGCTTTTAGCTTGTACAATATTTAATTTGTATAAAATAAATGCATATATCTTCCCTTCCCTTTTCCCCCTACAGAGATGTCTCGCCTGAAAGTTTCTCTTCAGTGTTAAGGTAAAATTGTGGAAAGGGGTGGGGGAAACCTGGAAATTGGATTTTTAGATTTTTGTGGTGGTTCAAGCCACCACACCTATAATATGCTTTCATGTGGGACTGAAGACTAGGAACATTCTCTGGTACTGATTTTCACATAAAACTCCCAGAAAATCCAAGGGCAGTCTCTCTACAGAATGAAAGTACACAATGGACCTTACAGTTCTGAATTGGATTCTAGTAGTCCAGTAAAGCCCTTTCAGAGCATAAGAATACAGTAATACAGTTCTGATGTACTCTGGTGACTGCTACTTATTATACCTTTATTTTATGTTGATTCTTGGTAGTGATCAAAAAAGATCATAAAAATATCTTAAAAGGCTTCACTTTTCAGCAGGAGCTGTTACCTGCATTTTCTAAAAGGGGAAAAGATAATGGCCTATTTGGTCTTGCTTGAAGTCAGCAATTCAAATCTATTTCTTAAATGCTAAGGAGTATGAGTTTTTCTCTTTTGATATCTAACTGAACAAATGACTTTACAAAAGGAGCTACATTCATTAGTAACAGTCAAATTATATGTATTATGCTCCCAGGACACAGAAATGACTGATGCTAAGTAGAAAACAAATTGTATAGCACTGTAGATCAACGTATCTGTTCACATTCAAGATGATACATTTCTGTGGAATATGTATGAACTATTTTAATGACAGTGTTCCTCTTACAATCTGTTTAAGAATGGAAAAAATTACAACTTCTTTTTCTACCTTCCACATGGAATGATGAAACAGAAAATGAAGCAAAAAACTTTGATTTACTCTTTAACAATAATGACAATTATTTATCTGGCCAGTTTTAGCCTATTCTGACTTCCTTAGGGACCAATAAACAAAAGCATTTCATTATCTCAAGGATTTTGGAGTTTGGATCAAGCACAATTTAAAAAATATAACTGGCACTTTATCAAGGGGATAATAGTTGAGAAGCTGAAAGGCTTTCAGATTTCAGACTTATGCAAGCACTGGGTATCTTAAAAAAATTTCTCTAAGAACTGGATTTTATCTTTAGACAATTCTCAACCCAGAATATCTACTTTTATAATATCTTCTCCTAGGGAAACATCCCACTAGGAGGGCTGGCCTCCTCTGAACACTGCAGAAATGGACTCTCTGCCCATCCATTATACCCACATCACATCCAGACTGCAGCTTTCAGAAACAAGCAGGCATTTGGGGTCTGGGTCTGTTGTCTGAGGGAATCTCTGGCAAAACTAAAGATTTCAGTCTAGGCAAGGGAAGATAAGTACTGTATTTAGATGAGTTGGATGCTTTCACACCACGTGGAACAGTCTTAAAGATGTTACTACTTATCTATGAGGATGGAGGAGCAAATGCAGCAGCTATCTTTAAAGAGAAAGATCTGCAAAATTATAGTCCAGTCAACTAAACTTCAACCGTGGCAAAGTACTGAAAAAATAATCAAACAATTTGTAAGCACCCACAAGAAAACAAGGTAGCAACGGACAACATGGATTGTTAGGAACAAACTGTGTCAAACCAATCTGATCTCCCTCTAAGACAGGGTAATTGGCCTTGCAGACAGGGAAAAAGCAGTAGGTGGTTTGACTTTACGAGTGTCTCGACACTCCCTCGTGTGACATTCTTTAAAACCTAAGAAAACATAGTTTAGGCGAAACTGCTGCAGAATGAATGCAGAAGTAGCTGGAAAACAAAACTGAGAGGATGGATATCTGTGGAAACAGAAGTGTGCATGCATGGTGCTTCTGTCCTCATTTTGCACTATTTAATATTTTCTTGATGAAGCAGAGAATATCATTAGTAAATTTACATGTTGATAACATGCTGGGAGAGAATTTTGACAGGCTGGATGCAAGGATTAGAAATCAAAATGTTCCTATCAGTTTGAACACGCCAGCTGCAATCCTGGGATCTTACAAAAGTGACGTAAAGGCACTTCCCATACAAAGCTGTGTGAGTGGGAGCGGTGTTTGCAGTACATGTGAAGTGCACCTTTTCTACTAATAACGGGAGAGACCTCTGCAGAGAGGAATGCCATGTACACAGCTAGATGCCACACTTCAGAAGAACCTGGACCAGCTGGAGGAGAATAATTAGAGTGGCTGAATGCTTGGGAGTTTCCTGAGGCTTATGAAGACACCTGGCATGAACTGGCCATGTTAAATCTAAAGAAGGGAAGACCAAGTGGAATATGATGCCTGCTTTGAACACAGGCAGAGCTAATGAGGAGATAATTATTCTGTCTTACATTTTATACTGAAGAGAATGAGACATAACCTGGAAAGTTCAAATTAGTTTCTGGGAAAAGCTGTCTAACCTGGCAGTGAAGCACTGGCATAGATTGCTGGTGGAATCTGTGGATTTCTATGAGAATGCTTAAGAGCAAGTTAGTTAAAAATAGTTACTCCACCTGAGAACAACAGAGTGGTCTGGATAATCTCTTGAACCTTCCTCTCATATTTTTTTTATTATTCTAAACAATTTCCCATCAGTATTACTCAGGCAGATGGCAAATCCAGCATTTTCCAGCCATGCTACACATAAAGTCCCTGAACAATTGAACTGCTGAGCATGTGCACAATAAATTTGAAGCTTCCAGGAAGCTCCAAGAATGAGAGGGTATTCTGCATTCTCCAGTTGTGCATGCAAGGAATGCACACAGTCAGAGCACATGCACAGTGTGATGGTTGAGGCTAGAAAGTGTTTGGTTTGGTACATGTATTGTACAATGCATTTGCAAATATATTTTTGAAATAACTGGGATACCCAGAAGCTTGACAGTTTTCTTGTTGAAAGTCCAGAAATCTTTAAACAAATACAGAAATTCCCAAAATATAGCTGGGCAAAAAGGAATATGGCTAGTATTCCTACACAGGAACAGGTGCAAAAGCAATATATAAGTGATATTTACAGATTGTTGGTTTATGACTCACTGCTTGTGAGGGAGAAGCAAGCAATTGGGTTGAAGAGGCTAAAGAATCACCTTAAGACTTGACCAGAGACTGAGGGAGGATTTCATTTTTAACTCCCTACATAATTTCCAGCACCCCCTCTGATTTACAGACATGATGGTTAAGCTGTAAATGTCCCGCTTAAAGAACAATGATAGTTATCTATGTCATGAAATTGCATTAAAATACTCTCTCTCTTTTCATCCACTATAATTTCCACTCCAGAAATAGCCTTAAGGAGAGACAACGATTAGATTATGAATTAGATTCTAGATGACAGAATCAATTTGAACTTGCAATAGCTGACTTTTCCCAATTTTAGACACATACA